ATTGCATATTTTATATTTACATTACCTCTGCATGCAGTCATCTTACACTCACAGTTGATATTTAAAATCACAAAAAACACACTGTTCAAATAAATTTTCAATGTAATCTTTAGAAAAAAATCAAAATAATTGTTACTGTACACATTCTGTACAATATTGTGATGGCTAAATTCACTTGTAGCATTTAAATTGATAATTTTAATATTTATTTTTTTATTCTACTTACATGTCATTGTAGGAGGAAAATTTGGGATACAACAGACAGTTTATCAATACACTTGTAGTTTAAATCAATCAGGCTGAACTCTTTTCCTGAATAAACGTGGTTATTGTATTAATGAACAGCACTTCTGTAAAACAAATAAAAGACAGATAACAGCTTTACAGTGTTTGCACCATGCACTGATCTTTATTGAATCTTTTTCTTTTGAAGCATTAAATAATATCATAATAAATAAAAAAAAAGAGCTATGTACATTGGCCAACAGAGAAAAGCAAACCAATCCAAAATGTCAAGAAAACATTTTTAGGCTAAGACCTGATTTAATGTAACAAATTACATTAAATTTCCCTTTTGCACTCAAAATTATCTCCTGAAAAATATTTCATGCAACAAAGAAATTCCTATGACTGAAAAGTACATCAGATAAAAAATACAAAATAAACTATTTTTCATTAATATTGGCATGAAAACAATCACTAAACAACACTTTTCTTTGTACAATGTGGCACGAACTGTATACAAAACACAGGTCCTCATTTTAAAACAGAAACCAACAGCATTGGCAACTGCACACGTGTTTTAAAAACTTCTCCCCATGTAACTTGTGGTTTATGAAATAAGAACATGTGGAACTGATGTGACAAATCTCAACAGCACCGCCAGAATTGTGGCTAAAAATCTGATCTTATCCATGATGCAATACATATTATAAGCACTACTGATTTTTTTTAAAAAGTAGGAGCTTTGATTGTTTTCACTGCAAGTCAAAGACTCGCTTACAAAAATACTTTTTTTGTGTAAACTTTTCTCCAAAGGCACTGCAACCAAATGGGCCCAACAGTGCAGCGATCCAGAACTGTGGCTTCCCCTGAAGGCTGGCTGGACTGGGGCGTCCTGTTCCCTTTGGCCCTTCCACGACAATCATGCTACACTTGTGCTCCACAGTATTAAATCCTATTCCTACTACAATATACCATCTAATCCCATCTCTCACTGCCTTTAAGGTTGGTTTTATACATGTGATCGGATGTGCAAAATGCGGCACGAAAACATGATGTCCGAAAGTACAAGAAACACTTTCTTGGTAAAGTAAAATACTATTAAAAATAATCATAATAAACCCTTAAATACTACTTTTGCACATGCCCACGTTCAAATTGCGACTAGAAGAGGAACTATAAACAAAACTGACATCTGTGCATCAACTCTCTAAAGCAATTACACAGAATAACTCTTTACGAAGTAAGAACTAAATACCCTGTGCCTTCAATTATATTCCTAACAATATGCAAACAAGGCCGTTATTTTTCCAGAGCAAAAACCGAATATAGTTTGCTACAGTATTCTTGAGTGATGCATATTTATGAAGGACTGCAAGGCACACATGCTAACATCTATAGCATGCTGCAGATCAGACCCTGCTACACACTAATAGAAGAAAAGGATCAAAATGATGAAAGGCAAGATTTCCTTGACAAGAACAGGCCAAATTCTGAATACTCCAGCCTCTGTTACAAAGACATGTCTTCTGATGTCAGTTACTCCATTTACTTGCTTCACTGCAGAACACTGGCAATTTTGTACAATAAAAAACTGTGAACTGCTTTAAATGGTTGAAACAATCCATGTGGGAAAAAAAAAATCCCATGGAAACATAAAAACTGAGGTTTGTCCATCCAAACAACAGACACATAAGTGTACCATCTTAAAGAAAAGCTGTAAGAGCTAAATGCTGTAAGAGCAGTAGATCCCTTTATGGTTTTAAAAATAAATGTGTAAAATGTTTGCTTGCATTTCAAAATGTTATCTAGCTTTTTTCCAAGGGCAAATGTGCCTTCACTTTTCACATTTAATTGTAAAAGGTTACAAAAATATTCTAAAATACTCTAATATGTGCACTTGCTTAATGTACAATACTTTTTTTAATTTCTTGTGATATTTTAGTTTGGTGGATGTTTATTAACTAATACATACAACTATACAACTACAAAACTGAGGGACAAATGTTTCTTGCTGGGATTATAACATCCATTCTGATCTACATCCATCCAAACTATAAGACAAATACTGATGAGGTGATGAGTTTGTTTTTAAACCACTGTTCGGTATATTAAAAAATAACATTGTGCAGGCTTCACTGAGTAGGTAACCATCTAAATGCCTCTCTCCAAATTGTCGATGAGGTCCATATACAAACAGTTACACATTTAGGGGATTACTGGGAAATGAATTGAGGAAATGTAACCTGTGTGCAAGGAATGTATATTCACTACAGTATTACTTTCAATGCCCATAAGCTTCACAAAGAACGAAAGACTCTTTCACATGACTCGCATCAGCGTCCCCCCAATGCACTGAACCATATAGTGTGAAGCATCAAGCTACAGCATTACCCTCAGGACAGGGCAAATGTTAAAAGCGCAAAGTTTGTGGTGTCGTTTATCACTGATCTTTTCGAAATGCAGCCACTCAGCTATGCTTTTCGTGCTTTTTCACCAGTCACAAACCCATTTATTAGTGACTATCGTGAGCTTTGACATCAAAGGCAGCAGACCAGGAAAAACATGCAAATCCAACCCGATCTCACGACCAATTCGTACGAATTTGTACAAGTGGCTAATTCGTAACAATTTATACAACCTGACTCATACGAATTTGTAGGATTTTTGCTAAATCGTACATATTTTACGAATTCCAAATTCGTATGAATTCATACGAATGACCTACCCCTGACCCCGCCCCTAAACCTACCCATCACGTGGGTTTAGACAAATCGCACGAATCCGTACGAGTGAGTTCGTATGAATTCGTACGAATTAGCCACCTTTTAATCATTCGTACAAATTCGTACGAATTGGTCGTGAGATAGCGTTGGCAAATCCCATTTCATTGTTTATAAAAAAAAAATTGAAGAAAAAAAAACAGGCACTGGTAAATCATTAAAAAAAAATGTAAAAAAATATATACTACAATGGTAATATAACTATAATATAAAGAGATAAAACAAATTATACAATGAAATATTTGTGAAAACAAATATTTTTGTACGGACATGACACGTCGGAAAAAATAGATACTCTGGCCATGAAGAAATCATTCCCACAACTTAATTTATGGCCATGATTTAACAATTTGGGTCAAATTGTCCCCTCGTTTTAGTTAAATTGTGGCCATGTTGTACTCTTATTTCCTTTGTTCTAGTTAAATCATGGCCACGTTAAACTAATTCGCTCTCTTTTTTAATTTATTTAACCTGTTAATAGTCACCCCCCTTTTTAAATATATGTGAAAATTGTTGTAGGTCACGCAAGCTTTTTAAAGAGGACACTGAGCCGATTATTGCAGATGTGAAAGCACTTCAAAACTAAAGCTATAAAAGAGTGTTTACTGTAAACCAAATGTACTGAACTAAACATTTTTATAACATAATTTGGACTCTAAACGTGCTAGCAAATCAAAGGCATGTGCCTAACCAAGTTGTGTTCCAAATTTTAAGTTGATATCACAAAAAATGAGCCTGCTAAAAAGATTTAAATGACCATTTCCATTGTAATGCAATTTCCGATTTCAAAACGGTTTTCACAGGATGAATGGAGTGCAAGCTTTCGAATGACACACCATTTATGGTGATAGCTAAGACACGTCTAGCAAGCCACAGTTGTTTGTTTTGCACATTCGTGATAGACCACAAATTATTCATTATCGTTTACTGTGGGTTCTGTCGAAAGCAAAAATGGCTGTGGAGGTGAACAAGACAACTCCCATGATTCCACGCTCCGTCACAGCGTCATCAAGCTACGTCGTTGTTATTGTTTTGAATAAGCGACCTCTAGCAGTTGCAAACATGCATACTCTGCCTTTAACAGGTTAAATCATGGCTAAGATTGGACTAAAACAAGGGAACGAATGTGACCACATTTAACTAATTTGCACAACGTGGGAACAAATTCTTAATCCATGGCCACAATATCTTGTTTTTAATAATGGCAAAGAGCTCATTCAAGCCCATCTCCAATCCGTCGAAATCGAGGCACCAATCAGAAACGTTGGGGCGGGCTTTACATGATGACGACAGCGCTGGGATTTTGAAGCAGATTTTGTAGCCTACATTACAAAGATGGATGCCGCGTCGAACATCACTCGTTCGAATCAGCTATCGCGTCTGTTTTAAGCGATTTGAACGTTTCCTTTTTGTTAAAAACCGAGCAAAGAACAACACTCGGAGATGTTTCTCCACCGCTCTGCATACGTCATCTCCATCGCTCTGATTGGGTTTAGGTCTATCCGCGACGTCCGTTGGTGACGCCCCTCTGGAAATGATTTGTCTATGACGCTTTGCCAGACCATAAGTTAGTTACAACTGAGAATGGTCTGGTTTTAACCAGGCTAGCTTTTCTCAGCACTCAAAGCGCTTTACATAGAAGGGGGAATCTCAACCACCACCAATGTGCAGCATCCACCTGGATGATGCGACGGCAGCCATATTGCGCCAGAACGCCCACCACACACCAGCTTACTGGTGGAGAGGAGACAGTGATGATGAGGATGTTTTTTGTTCAGTGATGATGAGGATGTTTTTGTTCCCGGCACGTAATGTGCATGGCTGAGTGGAGAAAGATGCTTTGTGAAAGCAGATGGTTCAATTAGAGTATCTACCTGCAGGACTTAAGTGGACCATGCGAACTAAACAAACATTGATCCTTTGGACGAGAGTCATGTGAAAGAGTCTTTATAAACAGCATAATGTGAAAAAGCCACGCATCAGGAACCAGGCATCAGGAACTCCCATCACCGTGTTTATTGTGCTGTGAAAATATTTTCAGCACCCCAGTAAAGCTGATGATGAACATTTCACTCATGTAACAACTTCTCTGGTTTGGAATATCCAAACAGTTTAAAGTCGGCTTCATAGAGCCTGTACAGCTCTTTTCTGGACTCCAATGGTATGCTGGCGAACCAATCCTGCTCCCAACTGCTGACCGTACGGTTACGATGGCTTTGCGGGAACTCGACGACATTGTCTACGCGGAGAATCCGCAACAAATGCTCAGCATCCTCATCCAAGGTCTCCAGCTTCCCCACGAAATCGTAATTTATCTGGCATGGATGGCACAGACGGTAGATTTGTCTCCAGTGCTCGTTGAAAGGCATCTCTTTCTCAGTGTTAGGATCCAGTAAATACCGAACGAAATTTGAGAAAGACGGTCGAATCCCAGCGGCAAAAGCATCCACGACTGAGGCTGGGGGATTCGAGTAATTGCTATATTTTTTCAGCATGATAACAGCGAATCTCTTGTAGAAGTCCTCGTTCTCTTGTTCGAATTTGTTGCGATAGGCAGAGATCAGACGTACAAAAGGATCCCTGACAAACAGAAACTTGGTGTATTTCTTAAGCTTGATTTTCATGAGGTGCCGTGAGAACTTTCCATAGCGCTTCCAGAACTTGTTGAAGGTGAAGTGCAGGCTACTGTTGTGGATGAGCTCCTGAGGAACATCTAGAGGGTCTTGGTAGGGCACGCCGTCCAATAACAGGCTCTCGCTCAACACGATCATAATGCGCTTCCAGTTTGTGCAGGCCACCTTGGGCACGTAACAGTAAATAATTCCATGCCTGTCGTCCACAATGAGGTGATCCAACTCTTTATTGGGTATGTCATCAAAAGTCCTGTTCTTTCCAGGGAAGTCTAAAAAACTTCTGTTACTGCACACATCTTGGATCAGCTGCTTTCTACTCTCTTGCTTCTGTTTTTTCTCAGGGTCAATTGGCGTCAGATGGATCTTCCACTCTCGTCTCGGGACAAATTTCTCATCCGATTTCTCAGAGGACTGATTGTGAGGGTCTCCAGGGGGCGGTTCTCCTCTCACCTGTTCCGTGGGGTCTGCGGTTCCTTCCAAAAACTGGTTGACAAAAGCATCTATGTCCATCAAGAACGAGCTCTCTTTGTCTTCCTCTATTTTCTTTTCAGGGTCACGACGGGCCTGTGGAGAGAGGCGGGACGGATGGGGCCCGGAGATGGTTGTGTGCAGGTAAAAATTAGAGGCCCCCACATCATCCCAGTATATGATTATAAGAAGGATCATGAAGACGGCACCCACGATCATAAAAATGCGGAACAGTCTCGATTTTCCCATTTTGGTTGATTTTGACTGAGAAAGTGCCATTCTCATCTCAACTCCATTACATAATCCACAGCCCAGACCGCATACATCATACTCTGAAGTAGAGGAAAACAAATCAGAAAAGGGAAATCAAGAGTGTGCAAACTACTTGGTTCAATGTTGAGCAATATTGCGACTTTCATCATGCAATAGAAAAGTAACATTTTATAATCTCTTTACATGACTCAACATTTTCATTTCTGATTGGTTGGTCGTGATTGAGTGTTGTGTGTGATCATCAGTCATTTAGTGTATGATGCCCAGTTTTTCTCTTTAACCATTTATGTACAGTCAGCAAGTGTATGATGCATAGTGTTTAAAAAAATATATACATATATATATATTTTTTTTAAATCTAGGATTTTAAAAATTGTGCAGTATATTTCAGCCTTAACCGGTCCATAATAAAAAGTTTCTTTTACAAATAGTTCATATTATTGATCAGACGCTTGTCAGATCTTTTCTTATTGGATACGTTAAGATAAAAATTTTGATATTCATATTTTGACACATTGATACTCATGTCTATTTATTCGGACAGCAGGCCATTTTCACAAATTAAATCCTGTCAGGGATTGTTTGGGCATAATAACTGACTGACTGACTAAACATTATCCCTTACATAACACTGAGGGTGTTTTAGATCAAACAGATTTATTTAATAAGTAATGTAATGTAACCTCCGTCAATGGTTATTTGGCACACCGGGGCCTCATATCACCCTGAAGGGGTTTACAGGCTTCTACATTAAATATTGATATGATTATTATCTTCCTTGTAGGGAATGCTGAGACAGAATACGAACACAACTACATAGGAAACAGCAGTAATTAATGTATTGTTGGAACAGACCCATTAAATTCTTCTGTACCATTTGTCGTGTGACAAAACAAGAGGCTGATAACGCACAGTTATTGGCTCGTTTAGTGAATGGCGTCACAGCACAACACAAAATGATGTCGGCTACAAACAAAATGTGCTTGCATAGTAGCAAGCGAGGCGTAATAATCAATCACTATAAAACTGACAAATGTTTACGAGCTACACGTGTGGATTTTTCGATGTATTTTTTTATTTATTTAAATTCAGGCCAATTATTATTCGGAAAACTCACAGTGAACAGCTATACATTTGCCATGCCCTCGCGTTCATTTCAAAGGCAAAGGCGACCCCTCACATTCAGCTGGACACAATGCAGCTCTTTGACACCATCTCTTACTGTGGGAGGAAGCTGCAAACATTCGAGCTTATCCGTGAAAACTCCTCCTAAGCCATTCATGTATAGATACTTTCAACTAAGCAGCTGATTCCGGTTAAATTGGATGATTCTGTGTCGATTGTATTTTAAATTGACAACATGAAGATATGAATTCAAATCTAGAGCAAGTGCCTACACCACTTTTTTCCATAGGAAGTCATGAAGCTACTCATGCCTGGGGTTTTGTAGATCGGTTGTGTTTCGACCACACGGAATTAAATGAGTACTATGTTTAGTATGATATGGTCGAAATTAATGTGTAACGTGTCCAAACGTGGCTGTAACGATAACGGTCTCACCTCATAGCAGGAGTGTATATTTCTCGGCAGGCAGGCAGACGGCGTCAGCTGAGGAGGGATGTGCTGCGCGCGGGGTGTTGACACAGCAGCGCTTCAGTGCTCCGCTCAGATATCGCGAGATTTCTGACTGTGAACGCAAGGTTCTGCTGCTGAGACAGTTTTGTCAGCACAGCAGACTCTTTCGCTTTTTATATTTTATAGAGAGAAAAGACCACATGATGAAAGGTGTCAGAGAACAACGAGTTTCACCTACAATAGTTTCTGGAAAAATGCAACAGTTGGAAACGCTACCACAATAAAACTTTGGTGTCTAGCCAGCATCAATAAAAAAATGTTCTAATTAACATATGCAACAATATGTTAAGCAACATGGGACCACATACAATCAAACGTGAAAAAATGTAAAGGCCCAAGAAGTGCCTTGAAACGTTCTGAATTATTCAATGGTTGCGTCCAAAATCGCATACTAGTAGGTACTTATTTTCAACAACAACAAAAAATACTTTACAACGGTGGATGTGTGTTGTATGAATGTAATCTGGGCTACATACGCCATGTTGTAATTATCATGTGACCAACCAGTCAGTTATGTCGCTTCACTGCCATTCATAAATCCCCTCCCGTGGCCTCATGGGATAGTGAAGTGTCCATCATATGCACACTTCAGAATCTCCCTGGAAGAAGTAGGTTATCCGGGTACTTTTTGCTTACTCGTTAATGGATACTGTGAATTCGGACATACTTGTGTCACATACTGTTTGTTTTTCGACTACTTAGTAGGGAAGTATGCCATTCCGGATGCAGTCAATGTGATGAGTTTTGGCATATTTTCCACTGAAACAGGAAGACAGGGCAGGGCATACCGAATAGCTCCTCCCATTAAAAAAAATTTGCCAATAGCTCGGCCAAAGCCGTTGAGCTCTGTAAAGCCGCAGTTTACTCCCAATCTCTAGTCATTTCTCCTCCATATCGCTTTAAAATATAGCATTCTGTGCAGAATTCAAATGGGGGTCCAATACATTTTGATATCCACTCTGTCCTATCGTGTCTCTGGACCGGAGCAGGCTGTGTTTGTGCGACAGTAACATGAAACCAGACTTCATTCGCCCCAATGGAAAGTATAATTTACACTGTCTGAATTGTTCCCTATCCCCCATATAGTGCACTATGTTCCATACACCATGTAGAAAGTAGTAAATGTGTGAACAAAATGACAGATTTTAGCCTCAGCTTCAATTTATAGTGTAGGGGGAGGGACACTTTATAGAGAGCATTTGATTAGACAAAAAATCTGAGGAGAAGCTGAATTGCAGAGTGATATCAAAATTATTGACCCATATTGGCAGAAGTGAGGGACTAAGTTTTGAACACTTTTATCATCTAAATGTGAATTGTGTCATTATAGATATAATAGACAACAGTAAGGCTGACATATTCAAATTAAAAGCCAAAAAAAACTTCAATTTTGATTTCATGGAGACTTAAAGGGATAGTTCTGTCATCATTTACTCACCCTGAAGTTGCTCCAAATCTGTATGATTTTTTTCTGTTGAGCACAAAAGATATTTTGAATAATATGGGAGTTGATGGACCCCACTGACTTACATACTAAAAAAATACTAATGGAAGTCAATACAATAAATATTTTTCTAGTTATGCCTAGTTCTAAAATATTTTATTAGGAAGAAACAGCTATTTGTTATATATTTATACAGCATATATATATATATATATATATATATATATATATATATATATATATATATATATATATATATATATATATATATATATATATATATATATATATACAAACTAAGGTTGAAAGACAACCTGAATGTCACATAATACTAAATTCATCATTGATCTTTATATTTACACCAACATTTCCTAAAATCCCTGATATTGTTTCTGCACAAAAACCTATTATTGTCCAAAATACACTATCAACTAAAGTTTAGTAAGAATAACTTTTAGGAAAGTTTAGTAGAACTAGCTAAAGTTTCATCATGTGTTTTTGCTTCAAATTCAACAATAGAGAAAAACAACAAAGACTTAAATTTCAGTTCAACTTTATTCCCTTGTTGCGCATTTAATATCAGGTAATCTGAATGGAGGAGGATACAGACCACTGTAGTGCCATTTTTGCACACTAGAGTACAAGTTTGCCTTTTGGAAAATCTGAGGAAACAAAAAGTTTTCCTTCGGTGAGTTGATGTAAAAACAGTTTATGGCATTTTTTGCCATGGTGACACCCTTTGACAAGGTAGACCAACCAAAGGCAGGAACAAGAACACATTACGATCAGATCCACCAAAAGCAGGCCCGGATGATGTTGGCAGGGCAGATTCTCCCACAGCTGGATGATTTTGTTAAAAAGCAGCAGTCAACAGTGGCACCAAATTCTCCTTCTGCAGCGACCAGTATTAAAAGGCACTTGACTGATGATAACAAAGAATACTCTTATAGGGGGATCCCTCACTTTGCCACGCTCCTCCACTAAAAAACGGATACTGAAAATAAGAAAACAAAATAATTACGACTGTGCCAAGGTATTACAAAGACCATACCAGAGTAATATTGCTGCACATACAGTACCTGCTGTTGGAATTACAGATCTCCGATGGGAATAATTTCTTCATTGATGAAAAACTCAATGGTCTCTTCCTCATAATCATCGATGTTGCTGTCTTGCTCATCAGTGTCCACACCTAGAAAAGATCAGAAAATCCAGTGATGACTTGAGTATAGTGTTTAACCCAAACTCAACCTCTAGGTAGGACTGTCACAATAATTACATGTTGACAATAATTATTCTGTTGACAATTAAATGTCAACCATCACAGACTGAGCCTTGTTTCTGTCATGTATTTTGGGTTCCTTGCCACTTGCTGTTTCCATTCACCTATTTTTATGCACATTTTGGGTTATTGCATAAAATAAAAATGGATGGAAGCGCCAAGAAGTGCATAAATTCTAACAATGTGCTTAAAATTAAGCTCAACTGAGGCGGTTCAATTTTTTATCTGATAAGACAACAAAACTAAAGCACAAACTACAATGGAAACACATTTACAAAATAAATCCCTCTATGCACTACAACAACAAAAAAACAAACTAACGTGACTGCCCCAACAGAGGATTTGATTGGATAACTGGACTAACCCACGAAGAAATTTTATTGCACAGCATCTCAAATGTTGGTTTAATCATCCTGAAATGCCTGAGCTAGAGTCTGTCATTAGAATGATTTAGTTTAATTCACTCTCATAAGTGTCTCGCATGATTGTGCTCCCAAACACCAGCATCCAAATGCGAGAGAACATGACAGGGTTTATTGTGTTTCATCTGCGCGCTCTGAGACGCAAGTCATTTATGATGGTGCACTGACACCAGGGCTGAACGATTTTGGAAAATAATCTAATTGCGATTATTTATACCAATATTGCGATTTAATATGCAATAACTTAAGCTTTTTATTTTCTGTATTCAACAAAGACAAGGAATAAATCTTTGTATATGTGGGAATCTTTAGTCACCTCATGATTCGATCCGATTCTGGGAGTCATGATCCAATTCCAAAACAATCCCTGATCTACTTTTTTTCTTATTTATTAATTAATCAATCAATCTTATAAATAGAACTTTAATTCTAATTCTATTTAAGACCGTTCTAAAAATTCTAATTAATAGAACGTTACTCTTTTGGCGTAGGTCGACTTGCGTACGGTCGTCTGCCGGAAGCTAGTTATTTTAGTCGATAAAGTTTTAAATATGGATATTTTTCTTACACGAACGCATCGCTTCACTTCAGAAGGCCCACAGAGCCGTTTCGAGCACTTTTATCACGGATAGATAGGGTTTGATGGACTTCCAAAATCATATACCCATTGACTCCCATTATAAGGCTTGGAAGAGCCAGGGCATTTTTTAATATAACTCCGATTGTATTCGTCTGAAAGAAGATTGTCATATACACCTAGGGTGAGTAAATCATGCGCTAATTTTCATTTTTGGGTGAACTATCGCTTTAAGGGATCAAACAGACAGGACAAACCACATGTAATATTTTAAAAGAGTTCTGCGCTTTAGTGTGAATGCAGCTTATCGGATATACCGCTGTCTATGATGTCATCATCGGTAATAATAAAACAGTAAATGGATGGCTTCAGGGTGAGTAAATCATGGGCTAATTTTCATTTTTGGGTGAACTATCCCTTTAAGAGATAACTGACTGTTTACACATTAATTTTGCATCATAAAGCATTTTGTGTTGCAAATACATTTAACCACATGGAGTCGCGCACAGCCGCATGAGCGAGCACTCTTCACAAATAATGCGCGCATCAGCATTTGAAATTGAAAGCAGCCTTCTGTCAGTGAGATTCATATTTTTAATATATAGAAGATTTGTGTTGTTTGGACACTGTGTTCCAAACAACATAAATTATGCTTTCATTGAACAAATTATGCTTTCATCAAGGAAAATACCGGTGGGCAAGAACGCGCACTGCAAGCATAACATCTTAAGCAAAGCGGCCGATTCTCACAGCGCATATACTGTGCAATGAAGACTGCGAATGTCACAAATTCACTCCAGTTCAGCCTTTCCGAACTTTATGAAAGATTGTTTTACGGAAGGTTCCAGTGGTGTGTGTGAGGAATTGGAAGCAAGCAGAAAACCGCAGTGTCATAGCGCATTGCATTTTAAAAACTAAGTTCAGATTCGTTGGAAAGAGAATCTTTTATCTTTAGCTTGTGCGCGTCTAAAAAAATCAAATATACACAAAAATATGTCTATATATACACAGTATATAAATGTCTATATATACACAGTATATAAATTATACAAAGAGTTAAAATACTGCACCTGCAGCACTTCTGTGGAGAAAAACAGAATTAAAAATATAGCATATAAAAGGAATAAAAATATGACAATTCAGTGTGTGTATTAGGGTTGTGCCGAAAGACGATATCATCGTCCATCGTGATGGCTGACAGACATCACGATGTTAAGCCAGCATCGCGTTTTGGGGTTTATTACAGCACGTGAATTCATCAGTTTCTCCCGAAATACATGGCCGGTGAACTGGGAGAAGAATAGAGTT